ATAGAATCTTTATTGGGAATAGAATAGAATCTTTATTGGGAATAGAACGGAATCTTTATTGGGAATAGAATAGAATCTTTATTGAGAATAGAATAGAATCTTTATTGGGAATAGAATAGAATGCAAAACGGAATAGAATAGAAGAAACAGAGTTGGAAGGGACCTTAGAGGTCTTCTAGTCCAACCCCCCCTGCTCAGACAGGAAACCCTATCCCATTTTAGACAAATGGTTGTCCAATCTCTTCTTCAAAACCGCCACTGATGGAGCCCTCACAGCTTCTGAAGGCAAGTTGTTCCAGTGATTAATTGTTCTAACTATCAGGAAATTTCTCCTTAGTTCTAGGCTGCTTCCCTCCTTGATTAGTTTCCATCCATTGCTTCTTGTCCTGCCATTCAGGTGCTTTGGAGAATAGCTTGACTCCCTCTTCCTTGGGGCAGCCCCTGAGATATTGGATCACTGCTCTCATGTCACCCCGGTCCTTCTTTTCATCCAACTAGACCTACCCAATTCCAGCAACCGTTCTTCCCTCTCCTGGAACAGGAGCAATAAGAAATCTGTTAACATATTTCATGAAATTAGTAAAAACGTTACCTTTAGAATCTCTAGTCTTTGCTTATTGTCCTTTGGCACGTTGTCGTTGGGAACCAGGGCGATGTTGAATCCGTCTCCCGAGTGGCCGAGGATGTTGTACTGCGTGGGGAAAAGATTTCAGCAAAGATATCAAAGCCAAGTCACGAAAAGATCCAAGGTTCAACTTTTGCAGCCTGGGTTTCTCTACCAATCCACCATCACCTTTGATTCTTGTGATGGGGAAAATCTCTTTGCTAACATGCCAAATGACATCCGGGTAAATCCTCGACTTACAACTGTTCATTTAGTGACCGAGCTTACGACAGCACTGAAAAAAAAAGTGACTTAAGACTGTTTTTCATCCTTACGGCTGTAGCCGCATTCCCCCCCCCCCCCCCCCAGTCACGTGATCAAAATTCAGAGGCTTGGCAACTGACTCATACTTGTGACAGTTGCAGGGACCCCTTTTGTGACTTTCTGATGAGCAAAGTCGATGGGGAAAGCTGGATTTGCTTAACAACTGGGTTGCTAACTTAACGACTGCCGTGTTTCACTTAACAAATGTGGTGTTGAGGCCCACCAGTGGCCAGCGGAGATGGTATCAGATTCAGACAGTGAGGAGGTTGGGGAGGAACATGGGCCAGTCCCAGAGTCTGGGGAAGGCTCGGATGAGGGCTCTGCGTCGGAGGCAGTTATCAGCTGCCTTCGGAGTTGGAGATCATTGAGGAAGAAGAACAGCTGGAGCCTGTTCCCAGTGTGCGCATGCACAGAGCTGCCAGGAGAAGGGAACAGCTAAGGAACAAGGGTCGACTGAGGAGAAAAGGCACAGGTGGAAGGGAAATGGCTCCTCCCATGGGGAATAAAAGAGGAGCGAAAGGGGAGTGGGGTTTTACAGGAGACAGTTAGTTCATTTGGGTGAAGATCTGTTCCTGCATTCTTGCCAAGTATTGTCTGCTACCGTGTGGCGTTTGAAAGATATTGGCCTGGCAACTC